TTCAGAACGTTTTATAAGATGTCAGAACGTTCTTTATGGTGTCAGAACGTTCTATATTATGTCAGAACACTCTATATGATGTCAGAACGTTCTATATGGTGTCAGAACACTCTATATGATGTCAGAACTTTCTATATGGTGTCATAACACTCTATGTGATGTCAGAACGTTCTATATGGTGTCATAACACTCTATATGATGTCAGAACGTTCTATATCTTGTCATAACACTCTATATGATGTCAGAACGTTTTATATGGTGTCAGAACACTCTATATGATGTCAGAACGTTCTTTAATATAACGTCGTATTTTGGTTTGTGAAGAACCTGTTAACAATCAGCGTATAGACGTTTGGCTTGAAATGACCTTCCTTTTGAACCTGTTGATTCTTACATTATCTGTTTAGAGTACTGTTTTAACGTATATTAACTTGAATAGTCATCAATTTGAATTTGCAATTCACTATATTAAAATAGACACACTATACTTATAACCTATAAATTAATTATTATAAACTATATTCAAATATTTGCAGTTAATGGAAAGTCTGATGTGATAAGGAATCAACGCCGAGAACGAATCTTTCAATATTAGACTAAGAGGTCAAAAGATGAACGTATGAATGTACACGTGTATATACCTTTAAATTTGGTAAAAGATGCAGTATGCCAAAACATAATTACATTGCATCATACAGCTTTTTCGTCCTTCAAGGCGTCAACGTTGCTGCTTGGGGGTCAAAACGATGGAAATCCAAATTGATTCAGTTGAAACAAAAGGGTAGTTTAGCAAAAATCCCGAAATTTTATCAAAATTTAACCAAACGGTTGAAGTTGCTTTATAATATCATAACTGCAGCTATTAAAGTTATCTTCATGATTAAAGTTGAATAAAGTGGCAAGAATGAGTACTTGTTCCTACTAATATTTTATTTTTTCTTGTGATTCTAATTAACATTCATCGTACTTACCTTTGACTTAGGAATGAACCAGTAGATAATTGCTAATATGGGATAGCAAAATGTAATACTAATGACCATCATACTCCGAAAAAACCAATTAGACCTCTCAAGAGAACGGAGGTCATCGTACCAAATGCTGACCAGTTTCTGTTGACAACTTGGATGGGCGACGAACTATAAAAAAAATAGACTAACTGTTTATAATGCACCTATGTTGAGTTGAATATCCAACGCTAATATAACGCACATAACTGTGAAATTATTTGTCCATCGTCTGTACACGTAACTCATAACCAATTATCATGCATTTATGTTCTTTTCTTTGTACAAACAAAACACATATATCCCAGTACCATGTCTTACCTGAACCGGGAGCCAACAATACCACTATTCAACTATAGCCTTTGGCTGAGGTCGATACCTGGATTTATCAACCCGAGAAAAGATATGTTAACAGAGGACGCAGTCCGAGGTCAATATACCTTTTCTCGTGTCGATAAATCCAGGTATCGACCGAAGTCAAAGGCTACAATTGTTGTTTTTTTTTATTTTCAAAACAATAATGTTACCAATCTGAAAAAAAAATCACCGCAAAAATCTACAGAAGCGGGTCGATGCGTTCGTTTGGAGACACGTCATAATTCTATTTTTAGAAACACCCAGTCCTTCAACAAAAAGTCAATATCGGTTTTTATCGGTGGACACGTGATGCATTCCTAGCCAATCACTTGTCGGGAATAATATGAAAAAATAATAAAATATAGAATACTTGGAGCATCATTATATAAGCTAGCAAACCTTAACAGGTACGAAAAGTCAACCTCAATAAACATCGTCAGCTTTCTAATGTCATCAAGGTGATGATTATATGTGTTTGAAGCAAAATAAAAGACAAAGCTTGTCACATTTAGTACCAAACTGATTAATACAATATATCACCTGCAACTGAGTGAGATCGGGTTATCAGGGCTAAGATTCTGTAACATAATCCCAATCGAGGCATAAGCCGAGGTTGGGATGTTACAGAATCTTAACCCGAGACTGAGATGACCCGATCTTGCTCAGTTACAGGTAATTTACTTGTTCTCGCACTATTTAGTTCAATAGAAAACTAAAAAATGTTGCTTAATACTACAAGAATCCCGTCGAGGCCCCAATTAAAAATGGCCTCTACACTAATAGAGCTACATTTGAATGTTTTCGCAAAAATATCTAGTCGGTCCTTACGAAGAAGACAACGTATTTCACAGTGTAGATAATATTTTATCTACGACACCAGATATCTAATAACATCAAAATGACACATATAACGACAAAACAGAATAATTATAATGCAGATTGTCAAGTTCAATCCGTTAATGCGCGGATGAATACACCGCAGTGTAAAAACTCCGCGAAATTTCACGTAAATGTACCAGACAGATTGAACGATATAGAAAAGTTTAGCATGGGGTTTGACTTGGGATATCTCTGTCTGAGTGCGAGAATATAACATCAGTACAGAGCATTTAAATACCTTAGGGTTTCATTTAAATCGTCAACATGAACATATTTGAAACGTTTACCTGTTCAATTTTGTCACCCACTCTTGTAGTGAATAGCTAATTGGTCACTACCATAAGAAAATGGCGATATACATTTATTTGAATTAGCCATTCACTACAAGAGTGGGTGACAAATTTAAGTAACTCTTGCTTACCTTTTTCTCATTGTAGTGAATGGCTAGTTTGAGTCTGGCCAATAGTTCGTAAGTATCATCCTCACAGTCGGGGCCCTTCTTGTTGAGCAGCTTTTCAAGCTCATCGTGACCCCTGACCTTGTCCAGTAGTTTGACCACATATATACTGAGCTGGTCCGCCAAACCAAGGTATTCATTCTGTTAATATATAAAAAAAGAAATGTTCGAAATTGAAGTTTTAAGGATAATAATATTCTGAACGATCTAAATGATAACAGAATATAACTGAAAAAAGGCATTATAAAAATTACGCGGTGCATAACCGATCATAAAAGAAAATAGAAAGGTAAAATGAGATTAACACATTTGATATGTATTGTTAAAACAAATTAATTGTGGTCTTCTTACTTTGTAATACTTTTCCACTTTAGCGACCCCTCTAAGTTCTCTTGCTAATTCAAACGCGGTCAGAATAGGGTCCTTACTGGAGAGTGATATATAGGCACTGCTTGCTAGGCCACGGTAAGCATTGAGCCTCGTTTTCGCGAGCCGCCATTGGTCAAACTGAAGTTTGTTACTACACTCCTGACAATTACAGTAGTAATGGTGGGGTTTATTTATGTTCTCTCCGCGGAGTAAAAGCAACTGTATGATCTCGAACTGATTTCTCTCCGCTGCCAGTATCAGTGGCGTTATGTCAGCGGAAAACGGTGAATCCTCGTTAGTGGTATTAAAAAAGTAATCTGTTTCTCCGAATCGCTTGTTATCCCTTTTAACGTCTCTGTACTTAGGATGCTTAAGAATGGTCTCTGCGATCTGTTCGTGACCGGCACTGATGGCCTGCAGAAGTGCCTCGTGGATGTTCGCCAGGTTTGACCGATCAAGAAGTAGCTCGACGACCTTGGGAAGAAATCAAACAACATAATTATTTGATTGACATCATATTTATTTACTCATAGCCTCTCCCTCGCAGCCAAGTGGAAACAGATAAGAATGTAATTCAGATATATTGGATTACCAGGAGGGAGGATGAAAAATAAACCACATTACAATATTGTTGAAATGGTACGATTCTACAAGGAAAATAAGATAAAATGTTCCGAATCTAATGTTCTTATTTGTTGTAATATTTTCAAGAAATTATATGTACTCATATGCCTTTGTCAACACTCATTGCAGAGTTCATTGACTTGTGGAGCTTCATCTGATTTTATATTAAACAAAATTCTACTTTATATATACCTCAAGGTGTTCATTTCCCACAGCAAGGCGCAGAGGCGTCCTGCCGATAATATCACTGAAGTCGACGTTAAACGTCAGATTCTCCTCTAGGATCCTCTTAACAGATGGAATGTCTCCAAACTCGGCAGCAAATATAAACTCTTCTTCCACTGAGGATAACTGTTGATAGTGAAATATAAAAACTAAGGAAACGCTTAAATGTCATCTTTTATATTAGAATATCAGACAAAACAACTGTTTAACAGAGTTCTCATTACCTCTGTCTGTATACATTGTCAACACTCGAACCCAATAGAACGACGGGGAGTAGGATATCATGTCTGACTCCTCTATAAAAAGAAACATGCAGCCTGTATTTACTTTACCTTCGATGAAATATTACAAAACTGATGATTTAGATATAATATATATATAATTTTAATCGGATGTAAAGTTAAAAGGCATGTTGTATATTTTGGTCTCACATAACATAATTAAATTGCAAGCTTGCGCACTTTGGTGCATAGTGATGTCAAATGAGACACGCAGGTCCAAAATCTGATATTACACTAAGGTTATAGTGGCTAATATATATTGTTTTATATTGTATTTTTTGCTGTATTTCGTGTTATGTATGGTTTTGAATTTTCGATTTGTGTACAATTTAATCACCTTATAACCTTTATTCATTAAATAATATTCATCTACACCAAATATGGACCAAATCCTTTCATTCCTACAGAAGAAGAAGGATTTTTTAAGAATAATTTGCTATGTTTCCCCTATTGGGCCCCGCCCCTCAGGCCCCTGGGGTCCAGACCAACGGTTTATACAAAAGTGTATCCCCTCCACCCAATGATGCTTCAGACCAAATATGGAACAAATCCTTTCATTCCTACAGAAGAAGAATGATTTTAAAGAATTTGCTATATTTCCCCTATTGGGCCCCGCCCCTCAGCCCCCAGGGGGACTAGACCCATCGTTATTACAAGGATGCTCCACACCAAATATGGACCAAATCCTTTCATTCCTACAGAAGAAGAAGGATTTTAAAGAATAATTTGCTATGTTTCCCCTATTGGGCCCGCCCCTCAGGCCCCTGGGGGCCAGACCCACCATTTATACAAAATTGTTTCTTCTTCACCCAATGATGCTTCATACCAGATTTTGTTAAAATCCGCTTAGTGGTTCATGACAAGTAGTGTAAAGTTGACGGACGACGGACGACGGACGCTGCGGTATGGCATAAGCTCACCATGGTCCTTCGGACCTGGTGAGCTAAAAACATAAGTAGATCTTTCGTAAAGTATTTCACACATATCACGTATTATTCAGTGACTATATCCATTTTATATATAACTTTTAGTAATACCGACGCTACCATTATCAGTAAGATATTGACATGACGTAATCGCATTATGTAGAAAAGTTTCAAAGGAGTTTTTTTAACTTAGCTGGGGGAATCCTCTATATTCACTTCCTAAATATCGCAGGAAATTCTTCTGACACAGCTTACATAAAACACGAGTATTTAATCTTATTTACATGAAACAGTTATTTATCTGCCTTACCTTCTTACAAACGTTACGAAATTTGCCAGACTTTGGACTAGGTTTTTCAACTTTGACTTTAAGCAACAATGATCAATCTTAAGTGACCAAAATGATCGTATGATGCGGTATAAAGGATGGTGTGGTGCCGTATATAGGATGGTATGGTGCCATACAATGTATATATGATGGTCTGATGCCGTATATAGGATGGTATGGTACCGAATATAGGATGGTATGGTTCCGTATAAAGGATGGTATGGACCCGTATATAGGATGGTATGGTGCCGTATATAGGATTGTATGGTATCGTATATAGGATGGTATGGTACCGAATATAGGATGGTATGGTGCCGTATAAAGGATGGTATGGACCCGTATATAGGATGGTATGGTGCCGTATATAGGATTGTATGGTGCCGTATATAGGATGGTATGGTGCCGTATATAGGATGGTATGGTGCCGTATATAGGATGGTATGAATCCGTATAAAGGGACGTATGATGCCGTATATAGGAAGGTATGGTGCCGTATATAGGAAGGTATGGTGCCGTATATAGGATGGTATGTTGCCGTATATAGGATGGTATGGGGCCGTATATAGGATGGTATGGTGCCGTATAAAAGATGGTATGGTGCCGTATATAGGATGGTATGTTGCCGTATATAGGTTGGTATGGTGCCGTATATAGGATGGTATGGTGCCGTATATAGGATGGTATGGTACTGTATATAGGATGGTATGTTGCCGTATATAGGATGGTATGGTGCCGCATATAGGATGGTATGGTACTGTATATAGGATGGTATGGTGCCGTATAAAAGATGGTATGGTGCCGTATATAGGATGGTATGGTGCTGTATATAGGATGATATGGTGCCGTATATAGGTTTGTATGGTACCGTATATAGGATGGTATGTTGCCGTATATAGGATGGTATGGTGCCGTATATAGGATGGTATGGTGCCGTATAAAAGATGGTATGGTGCCGTATATAGGATGGTATGGTGCCGTATATATGATGGTATGGTGCCGTATAAAGGATTATATGGTACCGTATTTAGGATGGTATGGACCCGTATATAGGATGGTATGGTGCCGTTTATAGGATTGTATGGTACCGTATATAGGATGGTATGGTGACGTATATAGGATTGTATGGTACCGGATATAGGATGGTATGGTGACGTATAAATGATGGTATGCTGCCGTATATAGGATGGTACGGTGTCGTATATAGGATGGTATGGTGCCGTATATAGGATGGTATGGTGCCGTATATAGGATTGTATGGTGCCGTATATAGGATGGTACGGTGTCGTATATAGGAAGGAATGGTGCCGTATATAGGAAGGAATGGTACTGTATGTAGGATGGTATGGTGTCGTATGTATGATGTTATGATGCCGTATATAGGATTGTATGGTACCGTATATAGGATGGTATGGTGACGTATAAATGGAAGGTATGATGTCGTATATAGGAAGGTATGATGCCGTATAAAGATGGTATGATGCCGTATAAAGGGACGTATGATGCCGTATATAGTAAGGTATGGTGCCGTATATAGGATTGTATGGTGCCGTATATAGGATTGTATGGTGACGTTTAAATGATGGTATGTTGCCGTATATAGGATGGTACGGTGTCGTATATAGGATGGTATGGTGCCGTATATAGGATTGTATGGTACCGTATATAGGATGGTATGGTGACGTATAAATGATGGTATGGTGCCGTATATAGGATGGTACGGTGTCGTATATAGGATGGTATGATGCCGTATAAAGGGACGTATGATGCCGTATATAGGAAGGTATGGTGCCGTATATAGGATTGTATGGTGCCGTATATAGGATCGTATGATGCTGTATATAGGATGGTATGATGCCGTATAAAGGGACGTATGATGCTGTACATAGGAAGGTATGATGTCGTATATAGGAAGGTATGATGCCGTATAAACGGACGTATTATGCTTATATAGGATGGTATGGTGCCGTATATTGGATGGTATGATGCCGTATAAAGGGACGTATGATGCTGTATATAGGAAGGTATGATGTCGTATATAGGAAGGTATGATGTCGTATAAAGGGACGTATTATGCTTATATAGGATGGTATGATGCCGTATAAAGGAACGTGTGGTGCCCTATAAACCTTGATCCTATTTGACTTTCTGCATCGACTAAATGTATGTGCTTCCTTACTGTGTATCTAGTGATTATGTTACAACACGGTTTACCCTGCTGTGTGACTATCAGTCCTCGAGTATAGTTGTAATCCGGTAGCTAAAAGGTGTTCTGGTACATGTAATGTGAAATATAAGCGTTAGAATAAACAAAAATGTGTAGGTTTCTAACGTAGGAGTTTGGGAACTTCGTCCCCTTTGCTCTGTTTTGATATATTATACCGAAGACCTGAAAATTTCTTGCAAATATGTGCTTCCCTTCTTTAAGATTAATATAAGTTAAACACATTTCATCATTTAAAAACACAAGCCACGAAAGAATTCTAAAAACAACACGCTTTTAAATATATAATATTGTTATGTAATAGGCATTGCCTTAATGTATTCCATCCAAGTAACAATGCTACAGCACAATGAGTGGTAATACCTTATGATGAAGAGATGCAATACCTTATGATAAAGAGTGGTCATACATTATGATGAAGAGTTGTAATACCTTATCATAAAGAGTGGTAATACATTATGATGAAGAGTGGTAATATACATTCTGATAAAGAATGGTAATACATTATGATAAATAGTGGAAATACATTATGATTAATAGTGGTAATACATTATTATGATGAGTGGCAATAAATTATGATAAAAAGTGGTAACACATTATGATTAAGAGTGGTAATACATTATGATGATGAATGGTAATACAGTATAATAAAGAGTGGTAATACATTATGATTAAGAGTGGTAATATATTATGATAAAGAGTGGTCATACATTATGATGAAGAGTTGTAATACCTTATGATAAAGAGTGGTAATACATTATGATGAAGAGTGGTAATACATTATGATGAAGAGTTGTAATACCTTATCATAAAGAGTGGTAATACATTATGATGAAGAGTGGTAATACATTATGATAAATAGTGGAAATACATTATGATAAAGAGTGGTAATACCCTATGATTAAGAGTGATAATACATTAGGATAAAGAGTGGTAATACATTATGATGAAGAGTGGTAATACATTATGATAAAGAGTGGTAATACATTATGATAAAAATTGGTTATACACTATGATTAGGAGTGGTAATATATTATGATGATGAGTGGTAATACATTATGATTAACAGTGGTAATACCTTATGCTAAAGAGTGGTAATACCTTATGATTAAGAGTGGTCATACATTATTTTGAAGAGTGGTAATACCTTATTATAAAGAGTGGTAATACATTATGATGAAGAGTGGTAATAAATTATGATAAAGAGTGGTAATACATTATGATAAATAGTGGAAATATATTATGATAAAGATTGGTAATACATTATTATGATGAGTGGCAATACATTATGATACAAAGTGGTAATATATTATGATTAAGAGTGGTAATACATTATGATGATGAGTGGTAATACATTATGATTAAGAGTGGTAATACCTTATGATAAAGAGTGGTAATACCTTATGATTAAGAGTGGTAATACATTATGATAAAGAGTGGTAATACCCTATGATTAAGAGTGATAATACATTATGATAAAGAGTGGTAATACATTATGATAAAAAGTGGTTATACATAATTGATTAAGAGTGGTAATACCTTATTAAAAAGAGTGGTCATACATTATTTTGAAGAGTGGTAATACCTTATTATAAAGAGTGATAATACATTATGATGAAAAGTGGTAATACATTATGATAAAGAGTGGTAATACATTATGATAAATAGTGGAAATACATTATGAAAAAGAGTGGTAATACATTATTATGAGTGGCAATAAATTATGATACAAAGTGGTAATACATTATGATTAAGAGTGGTAATACATTATGATGATGAGTAGTAATACATTATGATTAAGAGTGGTAATACCTTAAGATAAAGAGTGGTAATAAATTATGATAAAAAGGGGTAATACCTTATGATAAAGAGTGGTCATACATTATTATGATGAGTGGCAATAAATTATGATACAAAGTGGTAATACATTATGATTAAGAGTGGTAATACATTATGATAAAGAGTGGTAATACATTATGATAAATAGTGGAAATACATTATGAAAAAGAGTGGTAATACATTATTATGAGTGGCAATGAATTATGATAAAAGTGGTAATACATTATGATTAAGAGTGGTAATACATTATGATGATGAGTAGTAATACATTATGATTAAGAGTGGTAATACCTTAAGATAAAGAGTGGTAATAAATTATGATAAAAAGGGGTAATACCTTATGATAAAGAGTGGTCATACATTATTATGATGAGTGGCAATAAATTATGATACAAAGTGGTAATACATTATGATTAAGAGTGGTAATACATTATGATAAAGAGTGGTAATACATTATCATAAATAGTGGAAATACATTATGAAAAAGAGTGGTAATACATTATTATTAGTGGCAATGAATTATGATACAAAGTGGTAATACATTATCCTTAAGAGTGGTAATACATCATGATAAAGAGTGGTAATACCTTATAATAAAGAGTGGTAATACATTATTATGATGAGTGGCAATAAATTATGATACAAAGTTGTAATACATTATGATTAAGAGTGGTAGGGGATTATGATGATGAGTAGTAATACATTATGATTAAGAGTGGTAGGGGATTATGATGATGAGTAGTAATACATTATGATTAAGAGTGGTAATACATCATGATAAAGAGTGGTAATACCTTATGATAAAGACTGGTAATACCTTATGATAAAGTGTGGAAATACCTTATGATAAAAGTGGTTATACATTATTATCATGAGTGGCAATAAATTATGATAAAAGTGGTAATACATTATGATTAAGAGTGGTAATACCTTATTATAAAGAGTGGTAATACCTTTGGATAAAGAGTGGTAATATGTTAAGATAAAGAGTGGTAATACCTTGTTATAAACAGTGGTACTACATTATGATAAGGAGTGGTAATAAATTATGCTTAAGAGTGGTAATACAGTATGATGAAGAGTGGTAATACATTATTATAAATTATGATACAAAGTGGTAATACATTATGATAAAGAGTGGTAATACATTATGATAAAAAGTGGTAATACATTATGATTAAGAGTGGAATTACCTTATTAAAAAGAGTGGTAATACATTATTTTGAAGAGTGGTACTACCTTATGATAAGGAGTGGTAATAAATTATGATTAAGAGTGGTAATACAGTATGATGAAGAGTGGTAATACATTATGATAAAGAGTGGTAATACCTTTTGATAAAGAGTGGTAATATGTTAAGATAAAGAGTGGTAATACCTTACGATAAAGAGTGGTGATACATTATAATGATGAGTGGCAATATATTATGATAAAGAGTGGTAATCCCTTATAATAAAGAGTGGTAATTCCTTTGGATAAAGAGTGGTAATGCATTTTGATAAGGATTGGTAATACCTTTGGATAAAGAGTGGTAATCCCTTATGATAAAGATTGATAATACATTATGATAAGGAGTGGTAATACATTATGGTGATGAGTGGTAATAAATTATGATTAAGAGTGTTAATACATTATGATAAGGAGTGGTAATACATTACAATTAAGAGTGGTAATACAGTATGATAAAGAGTGGTGATACCTTTTGATAAAGAGTGGTTATATATTAAGATAAAGAGTGGTAATAAATGATGATAAAAGGTGGTAATACATTATTATAAAGAGTGGTAATCCCTTATGATAAAGATTGATAATACATTATGATAAAGAGTGGTAATACATTATGATTAAGAGTGGTAATATATTATGATGATGAGTGGTAATACATTATGATAAAAAGTGACAATAAATTATGATAAAAAGTGGTAATACATTATGATGATGAGTGGTAATACATTATGATAAAGAGTGGTAATACATTATAATGTTAAATGGCAATAAATTATGATAAAGAGTGGTAATAAATTATGATAAAATGTGGTAATACATTATGATAAAGAGTGGTAATACCTTATGATTAAGAGTTGTAATACATTATGATAAAGAGTGGTAATACATTATTATAAATAGTGGTAATATATTATGATTAAGAGTGGTAATACCTTTTGATAAAGAGTGGTAATACATTTGATGATGAGTGGTAATACAGTATGATAAAGAGTGGTAATACATTATATTAAGAGTGGTAATACATTATGATAAAGAGTGGTAATAACTTATAATAAAGAGTGGTAATACATTATGATAAAGAGTGGTAATGCATTATGATAAAGAGTGGTAATGCATTATGATAATGAGTGGTAATACATTATGATAAAGAGGGGTAATTACTTATGATAAAGAGTGGTTATACATTATGATGATGAGTGGTAATACATTATGATAAAGAGTGGTAATACATTATGATAAAGAATGGTAATACATTATGATCAAGAATGGTAGTACCTTATTAAAAAGAGTGGTAATACCTGATGATAAAGAGTGGTAATGCATTATGATGATGAGTAGTAATATATTATGATAAAGAGTGGTAATACATTATGATAAAGAATGGTAATACATTATGATAAAGAGTGGTAATACCTTATGATAAAGAGTGGTAATATATTATGATAAAGAGTAGTAATCCATTATGATTAAGAGTGGCAATAAATTATGATAAAGAGTGGTAATAAATTATGATAAAGAGTGGTAATACATTATGATAAAGAGTGGTAATACATTATGATGATGAATGGCAATAAAGTATGATAAAGATTGGTAATAAATTATGATAAAGAGTGGTAATACATTATGATAAAGAGTGGTATTACATTATGATAGAGATTGGTATAACATTATTATTTTGAGTGGTAATACATTATGATAAATAGAGGTAATACATTATGATTCAGAGTGGTAATACAGTATGATAAAGAGTGGTAATACATTACGAAATTGGAACACTGGAGGCAAATTACACATGGATGACATAATATGGTATCAATAGAGATGTTATGTTTGTTTGTAGCGCCAGTGTCCGTAACATATACTACGTTAGTAGGTAACTTAGGACCATTAAAATATAGAAATAAATTAGTCATCTATCCGCACATAGGAGTTGCATGACAAGGGTATCGTTTAATTTTAATCCACCAGGAAGGATCTATAATAGCAGGACCCATTCAGTTTGCCTTGTGTATAGTGTTTTGTTCGTTAACCCGAGTCAGTATTTGTCTTTAACAAAGAGGGAAACACCACGTGTTGGTGACAGTTATTCTGGTTACACGTGACTGAACCTTACCGATCTATGTATACCGTTGGACTTGTCCCCAGTTAGGTTTAACCTGGACAGATTTCGCTTGTCTCGGGCAGTCCTGTAAGGCATGTTGGAGTCCAGCTGGTCATTTTGTCGTGCTGTAAATACAAATAAGAATGATTGATGGAATTGATTCGACACAATCTCGGATCGAACTACGCCAAATTGGCCAGACGGCGTTGCGTGTCGTCTGATAAATCCACCTGGTACGTAATCTATCACAGCTGACAAGAGGGGCGAAGGACAATGTACGAGCTTCTGCGGGAAGTATCAATGTGTCCTAAAATATCTGCTACGTCACTGCTATTAAAGAAGTCTGGTGTCCCTAATTAATCAATACAATCAACTTTATCGCACGATCAGCAGTATTGCTTTAAATATACACTACCGTGATCCTCCTCAGTGTAGGAACGTGATGGGATATACCCATGACATCTAGTTCGCATATTGTCTTACCTTACTCTGCCTTACCCTTTACTCCAGAATAATAAAATTGACTACACGCACTAATCTTTCGTAATTGTTTTCCCACGAAAATATTATTTGCATTATATCCCTATCTTTTTGTATGTTTTGAAACCATTTTACATCCAAATATATATATTGTGTGGGTCAGAATGATAGCTTTTTCTCAGGCTTTATGTACGATTTGAAACCTGAAATAAAACCTCGAAATAAACCTCGGCTTCACCTTGATAAGTGTTCATATCTCCTCACATTCACAATAATATAAATCCATATTTGTAATAAAAATAATAATAACTAGATTTGATCAAGATCAAAACACGGGATTTCCAACAAGAAAATGAACAAAGAAATGTTCTCGAGCTGACGATCGCTTTTAAACGTTTCCCTTCGCTTCCCTTCACTTCCCTTTGCTTCCCTTCTCTGACAAACCTATTTTGTAGGTTTCACTTGTTTATTGACAAGCATCATGATGCATCGACCTTGAAACTTTATAAATCTCTTTATAAGGATACATTCTTTTAAATGTAGTGTAAAAAAAAGTTTTGAAGAATTTTGGAATTTTCATTTTTTTTATCATTTGACCCCTGTGACCTTGAATATAGGTCAAGGTCAACGAGCTGAACTCTGTTTGTAGCCAAAGACACATGCTATAGATGTGCCGAATATCAACTCTTCATTTTTCATAGTTAATCGAAGAAGAGTTTTAAGTGCAATATTTTGAAAATTTTGCATTTTGGCGGGAAAATGAACATTTTTCAAAGTGGTATATCTTCGTCATTTTTGATGTTGTGACCTTGAAACTTTTCACATAACCTAATTAGATCATGCTCTTTAAGATATGATAAAAATGTAACTATTTTTCAGATTTTTATTATTATCCTATATTTGACCCCATTGCGAGGCCTTAAAATTGACATATTCTCTGAAAACATGTCATAGAAAAAAGTGAGCCCCGACCAAGATCTACAAGTTCCACATAACGTTCATGCAGAACAACGAACGCTAATGAAGTTATGGTCGTTCTAAAAATGTTTTAAAAAATCGATTTTTAGATCTGTGACCTTGACCTTTACCATTACGATCATGATTTTATTCGGGTGTCTCGAGATCGATGTCCTCTATCATGTGCTAAAATATGAACGCATGAATTTTAAAGAAAAAACATAACAATATCAATAGGTATTTCCAACCGAAATGGAAATCCCTAATAACAAAGTGGTATATCTTCGTCATTTTTGATGCTATGACCTTGAAACTTGAACTCATTTTATGATTTTTATTTTTGACCTATATTTGACCCCATATTGAGGCTTTGAACTTATATTCTCTGATAACATGTCATGGAAAAAAGTTAGCCCTGACCAAGATCTACCAGAAGTATGAAGCGTTCAAGCAGTACAATGAAAGCTTTTGAAGTTATGGTCGTTCGAGAAACGTTTTTAAAAAAACTCTATTTTTAGATCTGTGACCTTGACCTTTGACATTATGATCATGAATTTGTTCGCATACCATGTGTTTGTTGTCCTCCAATACGTACTGAAATATGAACGTTATATCTTTATTCGTAGTGTTCACAAGATATGTGGAAATAAGAATAAGAAAATTAAAGATAAAACATAACAATATCAATAGGTATTTCCATCCGAAATGGAAATCCCTAATAAATAATAATTTAGCATTGTCTATTCCCTGTCTAATGGCTCCTTCAGTGTACACTGTAACAGAACAGATCCACCAGTTAATAATATGAAGTATGTATTGTGTTGTTTGTGTGTAATGATTAGATATCGTTTAAACTGTAAATTGATGTCCTACAACAGGCTATGTGGGGCATCACCTGGTTAAGAGGGGTATTATGTTGACCAATAAAACGTAGACATATAAACGTTTATTGGTCAACGTAATACCTCTACATGATTTCACTGGAGTCACTGATACGTCAACTTTTGTTTTTATATTTTCAATGCTGGCAGTTTTAGTCCTTATTCAATATGAATTCATTTTGAAATATGACACAGTGACCTGGGAGGTACAGTCACGTACTTGATCGATCTCTCACAACATAACACAAGCATCACGAGGATCAAACTAACTGAATAAGAGAACATCAAACAAACAGAAATATATTGATTCCAATACCAAACTTAAGACTTTCAGTGATTTCTACGATTAGACGCTCTACACCCCTGCAGGTCGGTGATCGAGAAACGAATACAGCTGCTGTTACCCACTGCATGTTTCATAAGAGGCGACTAATGAGGGAACCCCTGCAGAAACGGGGATGTGCTTTTGACACAAACGCGACCAAAAACAAATCTGCTGCACCCATTGTAACATTTGGGATATTGATCTTTCTCTCTACTTCTAACTACATTGTATATCCTAGCGCATTGCTTGGCAATACCTCGCGTTTGACTTTAATGTTGAGCGTTTGCACAGGTGAGGAAGGCAATGGGTTCTGTTCCCAGGCCGGGACATACCAAAGTCTTTAAAAATGATAGTTGTTATTCCCTGCTTAACGTTCAACATCAAAGACAATTGCAACATGTGACCGGGCGGAAGACTGTGCTGGGTGCCTTCGGAATGGTATTTCAGTGAGATAGCAGTATAAAGTCGGCATCAGATCCGCGCTATCACAAGGAGGCAAGTAAATTAACATACCCTGTGTCCATCCGCATACACAAATGTACGCGTCCACAACATACACGGAGGCACGTACTTAAATTGCCTAAGCTTTTAATAGGACGTTAAACAATATAAAACCAAATCACACAACTGGATTCAATAAAGCCGTTCATTCAAATTGAAACAGATAAGTTATCTGAAAAAGAGTAATATCCTAATATTGTGGTCATTTAAGTAACTGTCTATTCAATATACACGATATTCCTGGAACAGCCTTTCGTCAGGTGGCAGGAGGAGACGCCCGCAAATGACACTGATCCCATAATGTCTAAAGCCTTATTCATCTAGCAGAGGTACACGGGCTTTTTTTGCAATGGAAATGTTAATAAAGGTTCATGGATTTGACGGGTAAATGACGTTATAGTTAAAGAAGGGATCGTTCCTCATTGGGAGTGTTAGATTGTATTAGCGACTGATGTCGCCCTCCCTCTTGGTTGGAAATACACCTGTTTGTTGTTTGTGTTTGTTGTTGTGATTTTAACGTATCGTCTGGTCAGATTGTTTCGTTATTCGATACAATTGCTATGTTTATCAATATTAATTTTAACACCTCTTCATCCTGTCCTATAGAAAAGGTAACTACGAAATGAATTACAGAACTGGACACATAATCTCCTTGATATCAGTATTTCAGTTAGATATTCAGTGGACGTACGTGCTGTCCCTGTATTAGACACATCACCCATGGATGGGGATGAGATACCTATTTAGCCTGTACACATTTTATTTTCATTCAGAGAAGACATTGTTACTTTTTTCTATTATTTTTGTGTGTCAATTATTTCTGAGTAAACTTTAATGCATTACATTTCATAAAATGAAACATTTATGACATATAATTACAATGCCGATGTTGCAAATTGATGCCAATGTCAACATTTATATAGAAAAAAATGAAATCAATAAATACAGATCAACATAATCATATGAGTATAGAAAATTCCGTTTATCAGTATATCTATGCTTTCAGAGAGGACAGCGTTGTGGTGTTATTACGGACAATGTCTGTGCTAGTATAACAGTAATAACGATAAGTCCGTGTGACGTTAGCTTGCGGTATGACCATATCTCTGACAATGTTTTGTGGATGGGTATGGCTGTAATCCAGATTGATGTGTGTCCACTCACTTTAGGGGCCTAATGCTGTTTCACCGCGGAGTAAATCGTCGATAATCGTGTGGTAATGATCATTGTTTACCGGGTTTAGAGTGTTAATATGTGTCGTCCTGCTGAAGGATGGGCATTGATTATACCATAGACCCAACAACTGGCGGTATACTCTATAGACTGACAGTGTCTCGTCAGCTTCACATACGTATCACATAAAACTGTGTCTTATATGTATATAGGAGTAATTAAAATACACCCCGCGAGCTCTGAGATATATATATAAATGCATATGATGTATCAGGATTTTAATGTTTGTTTTGATATAAGCTCTAGATTAAGTTGTGCCTTTAAAAACATGTAAATGCTCCCTTACAAATGCATGAGACATCAAATACAATTAGGTCTCATATAAGGCGGTAGTACGAGTCAACAACATATCCGAATGATCTAAAACGAATGTGTGAGAGATCGAATACTAAATGGGTGAAAGCTAGTATTTAAGACGGCAGAATAATTCAATACAATCTAATATAAAAAAAAAAACAATTATATAATTTTATAACTATAAAAAGTTTTAAAATACAAATAATTAATGTTAAGAATGTGATAACATTCCCGCCTACTATCTATCGCCTGCTCCAATACCCCCGACGTAACAGCGATCCAGTTCTAATGTGCCGACATTAGCATTGTGTCTATTTTTACATCACATCCTTACTAATTAGACCACCTTTTGCGTGTGGACCCTCTCAATTAATTAATTACATGAAGTTGATAAATAATTAATCAACTGATAAATTTCAGTTCTCAATAGGTGTATATTTTTTCAGTCTTC